GGATGTGCCGGTAATAACGGATCGAACAATAAAAGCAAACCGACCTGACATTATAATTCATAACAGAAAGGAGAAAACATGTCAACTAATTGATATAGCGGTTCCCGACGATTCCAATGTAAAATCGAAAGAAAATGAAAAGATATCTAAGTACAGAGATCTCCAGATAGAAATACAGAGAATGTGGCATGTGAAAGCTTGGATAACTCCTGTCGTTGTCGGTGCATTAGGAACTATCACCAAAACCTTCCACGGAAATTGTGACTCAATACCCGGTAAACCAGCACTCTACCAAATTCAAAAAACGGCACTACTAGGAACAGCGCATATACTAAGGAAGGTGCTTGGATAGTCTCTTTGATATCTGGTTGATATCTGGTCTATCCTTTATTACCAGACAGATACGTCTGTGGAAGAAAAAAAAAAAAAAAAAAAAAAAAAAAAAAAAAAAATAATAATATAATAATAATATAATTATAATAATAATAATTATAATAATAATATTAATTACAATAATGGTTATAATAAGGGGTACCGGGGAAATTAAATACCCGGGGTGGACAAAAACTAGCATTACCGCTCTATGGGTTAGCACCCCGTAGAACGTGATTCTAACCGCTGTAAAGACGAGAAGGAATACAGTTTTGGGCGTGGCAGAGAATCAGGCTGACTCTGTTCGGAAGCGTCAGGAGGCTATGCCTGTCTTGGGATCCAGTGAAGTAGGTGGCACTGACCCGAGGATTGGACCTACCACCACACAGGCGATGGAAATGGAACAACGATTACATCGAAGCTCTGAAAGTGTTGCCGAGCAAATTGCTCGTCCCACTCAAGAGGATAATAGTCGTAGGAAACGGATGAAATGGAGTGATGAAATGAATGAATACCTCTACCGTACCTACCTCAAAATCACCAAAATGGAAACATCAAAGGACCCCTATAGCGTCGAACTCTACCAAACCATGATTGGAAGGTTTCCTGATCTAGCAAGTAAAACACGTCAGAACATATTGGACCAACGACGACATCTCTTTACGACGAACAGGATATCGATAGATAAAGTGAACCGGATACGAAGAGAAGTGGAGATGGAACTCGGAATAGGACAGGCTGAACCATCACGCGAGCTAGAGGATACAGCAAATACCAGCAGTGAAAGCACAAATATAAGGCAGATAGAAACTGAAGAGAAAACATGTTTTGAAAGGAATTTAATACTGTTCAAAGGCATCCTTTTCTGAGACCAAGACTGCCTCGGTTGAGAACAAATAAGAATACTGTTCATATCTTGAATAGAGTAAATCATCTCATGACGACCAAGTTGTGTGACATAACCGGTATAACTGATTATCATGACCTAATCTATGCCGGCGCTTATACTGTGATTGAACTGCACCATCAAAAGATAAAGCAATCATACAAGCATACTGAACAAAAACCCAGATGGCAGATGAGGATCGAAGGGAAAATAAAAGATCTACGAGCAGCTATAGGCCCCCTTGTTCAGTACATCAAGTCAGATGCCCCGTCCAACCGGTTGCGAAATAAAGTCACAACAATAACCCAGAGACATCATGATGAGGATAATCAAAATCCGATACAGATCCTCGATAAGCTCCAACAAAGGTTGTCTGTATACGCAAATCGCCTAAAGCGATATAAAGAGTCGCATCAAAGAAAACTACAAAATAGCATATTTCGAACGAATCAAAAGAGGTTCTATCGCTCACTGGAAAACGAAGATGTAAGTACTACGGGTAAAACTCCAGAAGCTAGAGATGCATTAACATATTGGGCTGACCTATGGGAGAACCCTAAGACTCATAATAATAAAACAAGTTGGCTCGCGGACGAAAAGAGGAAAACCGAAAAAATACCCATGATGCACTACAACGTCATAACTGTGGAGGATGTTAAAAGATCTATAAACAACACGCAGAACTGGAAGGCGCCTGGACCTGATGGCATCCATAACTATTGGCTCAAAAAGTTCACTTGCACACACGAAACGTTAGCGATGATTTGCACAAGCCTCTTGCAAGATCCAGAATCCATTCCAGCATTTCTGACAACGGGAAACACCTACTTGCTTCCTAAAACATTCCCTTCTGTGAGCGACCCATCAAAATACAGGCCAATTACGTGTCTTCCAACCATATATAAAATAATTACTTCAATTTTATGCGATCAAATTTACCAGCACCTTGAAAGGCATCATCTGCTCCCAGAAGAACAGAAAGGCTGCAAAAAGGGAAGTCGTGGCTGCAAAGAGCAACTTACAATAGATACAATCATCACGGAGGAAGCAAAGGGCTGTAAGAAAGATCTGTATGTTGCATACATTGACTATAAAAAGGCCTTTGACAGTGTTCCTCACTCTCTATTAATTGAAATGCTCCAAATATATAAAATCAGCCCTAGTATAGTGAGATTGCTGCAAAACCTTATGCCTCAATGGAAAACTAATCTTGTAATAACCCATAAAGAAGAAAATATCAACATCGGTGCCATCAGCATTAAAAGAGGTATCTTCCAGGGAGATGCACTAAGTGCTTTATGGTACTGTATTGTATTAGCACCTCTATCTAGAATGCTGCACAAGAAGAACGAAGGTTATAAGCTTCAGAACAACCTACAAATAAGCCATCTAGCTTACATGGATGACATCAAACTAATATCTGCCACTAAGGATGGACTGGACAGGTTGCTTAAAACCATAAAGAAATACAGTGCTGACACAAGAATGGAGTTTGGCCTGGACAAGTGTAAGATTGGGGCTATTAGAAAAGGCATATGGGAAGATCACCCAGGGTTTATGTTGGAGCAGGGTCAGACAATAAGAAGCATGTCTGAGAAAGAGAGCTATACATATTTGGGACTAGATCAAGCAAGGGGTATCAAACACAAAGATATGAAAGAAGCTCTAAAGCAAAGATTAACGAGTAGGGTCAAATCAATACTTAAGACTCATCTGTCCGCAATACACAAAGTAAGGGCCATTAACACATATGCTATTCCGACAATAACATATAGCTTCGGAATAATCAAGTGGACAGACTCTGACTTAGAGCAGCTAAACAGAAACATAAGAGTCTTATTTACAAATCATAGAGCAAGACATCCCAAGAGTTCGATCGAAAGATTCTACTTGCCAAGATCCAAAGGGGGACGAGGCGTGATTGACCTTAAAGCAGCTAACCTGCGGAATATAGAAAACCTCAGGAGATTCTTTTATAGAAAGGGCGAAACATCTGCATATCACAGAAATATAGCTTCAGCTGACTACAAGTTCACACCACTGAACCTGTCGGATGAACAGTATGAACCTCTAACCCATGTGACCACCGACGAACAATGGTATCATCAATGGAAGTCCAAACAGCTTCATGGAAGACATCCAGCCATGCTCAGCTCAGATCACATTGATGCAGAAGCGTCACATGGATGGCTGAAGAGTGGGGAGCTATTTTCGGAAACTGAAGGTTTCATGATTGGCATTCAAGATCAGGTGATACCAACCTTAAACTATAGAAAATACATCATGAAAGAAGAAGGCATTGAAGATAGATGTCGTATATGCCATAACAAGTCGGAAACAATAGAGCATATCCTGACGAGCTGCACTCCCCTAGCTTCCACTGAGTATCTGAAGCGCCACGACAACGTGGCTAAAATAGTTCACCAAGAAATTTGTTATGCTGCGAACATACTAACTGACCGCACCCCATATTACAAGTACCAGCCGACTCCAGTTATAGAAACTAACAGCCATAAAATATACTGGAATAGAACAATTCAAACAGATCACACCATGGAATACAACAAACCAGATATCGTAGTTCAAGATAAAATGAAGCAAGTTACCTGCATAATTGACATTAGTGTGCCTGCCCCACATAACATAGCTGAGAAGCAGACAGAAAAGGTTCGCAAGTACTTACCACTAGCTGCAGAAGTAAAAACACTGTGGAATCAAGAAAAAGTTGAAGTCATCCCAATAGTGATCGGAGCCACAGGAGAAATACCTAAGAGTCTACATAAATATATTGAGAAACTAAATCTGCCGCAGAAACTATACCTCTCACTTCAGAAAGCTGCTATCTTAGGTAGTTGTCATATAGCACGCAAGGTCCTGAATGTAGCCACATAGACAAAGAGAAACCAATAGTCACACTCAGACGCTTGCAGTATAATGCCGCGTTTGAGGATACCACCTGCAGTAGCAGAGAATAGCTAACAGAAAACGGAATAATAATAATAATAATATAATAAAATAATAATAATATAATATATAATAATAATAATATATATAATAATAATAATAATATAATAATAATAATAAAATAATAATAATAATATATAATATATATAATAATAATAAAATAATAATAATAATAAATAATAATATAATAATAATAATAATAATATAAATAATAATAATATATAATAAAAATAATATATAATAATAATAATATAAAATAATAATAATATAATATAATATAAAAATAATAATAATATATATATAATAATAATAATATTATAATAATAATAATAATAATAATATATAATAAATCATAATAATAATACAATAATAATAATAATAATAATTACAATAATAATAATAATCATAATTGTATGTGCTACGCCACTGGCAAAATGGGTTTCGACCATCTCCCGCAGGAGCGCGCCACCATCCAGCGCGCAGCCTACCACTGCCGACCGGAAGACCGTTGAATTTTGAACGGTCCAATGGGATGCCTTCCTCTCGGAGCGACCAGGAGAGAGGCCGGAAGAAGCTACCTTTTGACCATAACCAGAAAATCTGTTCGGTATAGACAATTTTTCAATTACGACAGTTTCTCATGAAATGTACATACAATACATTGAACAAAAATAAATGTAATCAATAAAATACAGTCCACTATACACAACATTTGGTCCAATCGACCCGGATAGCCAGTGAAACAAGCAAGTAAACATGAAAAAGTTCACAAGTGCAGGCGGCAGGCAAGAATCCACGCCATATTCACAGAAGTTCAACGCAATCAGCAATACAAGTGGAAGACAGAAATCCACGCAGGTACCCATTTACCATTTCCTTGATTCAGTCAATATAGCGACAAATGCTACTTTGAATTTCGACTCGTATTACATGTGCAGGCATTCAACAGCCTAGAAAAGCAATATACTCTCAAGTGAGAACGTTTACTGGTGTCAATTATGCCCAATTCATCAATTTCGATCATTTTTTATCGATACTCATTCACATAAAGCAATTACACAATGGCACAATCAGTTTTGATCAGGAAACGAGGCACAATCAAAGCCAAGTTGGCTCATTTTGAAAAATTCTTGAACAGCGTACAGCCTCAAGATTTAGACAGACAAACTATAATTCATATGCAAGAACGGTGTACTAAATTCGAAACCCTTTTTGACAGCTTCGATGAAATTCAGTCAGAAATTGAATGTGAATCAGATAAGCCAGAAGCATGCTATGCAGAAAGAGAGGATTTTGAAACCAAGTTCTATCTTCAGCTCTCAAGAGCTAAATGTTTATTAGAATCACGAAGTAATCTCAGTAACAACATTCCTCACAACAATGATGATCACAATGATGACACTAAATCACAACAATCTGAATCTGATACGCAATCAATTTCAGAGCAATCAGTTTACACACAAGGTCAGGCCACTCATGTTATTCAGTCACAAAATGATGGCTTCAAACTGCCTGATGTAGATTTACCAAAATTCATGGCGAATATGAGTCTTGGATGGAGTTTCGGGAAACCTTCGAGTCCATGATACATATGAATACACAGCTACACAACATACGTAAGTTCACTATTTGCGGGCTTCATTAGCAGGAGATGCAAACCGTGTAATTCAAGAAATCGAATTTACAGCAGACACTAACAGCATAGCTTGGCAAGTTCTTAGAGACAGGTATGATAACAAACAGGTTCTAATTCAAATCATTTACGTGCAATTTGCAACTTTGAGGGTTTTCAGCACTGCTTCATCAGCAAAAATCAGAGAAGTATCTGAGAATCTTTTCAAACATTTAAAAGTCTAAAGCAGTTAGGTATCAGCATAGAAAAGTGGGATGTCTAGTCATCTATTTAACAGTCAGTAAATTAGATCGCTATTCAAGCCAAGAGTGGGAGCGGCACACAGCAAATACAGATATACCCACATTGGTTTGAGTTTAAAGATTTCCTCAGAAAAGAGCAACATTGTTAGAAAAACTAGAAATGAATTATGTTTCAAAAGGTGATTCATCACGATATCAATCAGATAAAAGATATTCAAAGGGTTCTGCTCGTTCAAAGGGTTTAGTCACTAGTGGTATCTCAAATCAAGGTGAAAATGTTAGCAAATCAAACAGAGTTTGTTACAATTGCAAAGGTGATCACAGCATATTTTATTGTTCGGACTTCTTGAAATTATCAGTACAAGAGCGATTCAAACAAAGTCAAAATCGCTGCAATTGTGCCTGAATTGTTTAAGAAAGGAACACACGGCGCGCTCCTGCGGGAGATGGTCGAAACCCTTTGCCAGTGGCGTAGCACATACATGCCCCGGGCCTTGGGAATCCTGCGGATGGACAACCGGCAATGGAACCAGGGCGATTGATAGCTCTAGAAGTCATTCCGTTCTCGGTTTTTCAACGATGCAACTGGGACACTCCGCTGCCAGTGACATGCGCAAGTCATGGCTCAGTCTTGCAGAAGGCTTAAATATTTGAATAAGCTTATCATCAATCGCAAGGTAGTATGTGACAAGGCAACGGCAATATCAATGCATGCATTTGCAGATGCTTCGGAAAAAGGCTACGGAGCATGCGTATACATTGTATCTGAAAATGCAAGTGGTAATAAAACCGCCAACCTTCTGTGCGCTAAATCTAAGGTTGCGCCTATCAAATCTCAATCAATGCCTCGACTAGAATTATGCGCTGCGTTAGTTTGCGTCTCAATTAATTGCAAAAATATCAAAATCAATTGACCACCTCATTTAGTTCCATTCACTGTTGACGGACTCTACGATTGTTTTTGGGCTGGCTAAATCCAACCCTAGTACTTTGAAACCATTTGTAGCCAATCGCGTCTCAGAAATTCAGCGACTGACAGAATTCTATAGAATGGCATCATGTTTCCACTCTGGACAACCCAGCTGACATTGTCTCGAGAGGTCTCAGCCCTAGTTCTCTAATGCATTCAAAGTTATTGGTTTCATGGACCAGACTGGTTATTATACCTCGATCAATGGCCAACCTCGCCAATATTATTATCAGAACTACCGGAACAGAGGAAAGTGTGTAATGTTTCCTCCACACCAGCAATTCATTTTCCTTTCATAGATTCTCCACCCTAACCAAATTAAAACACTGTTCAGCGTATATTTTGAGATTTATAAATAATTCACGTTTAAAACCAGATGATCGTGCGCTTGAGCATGTTACAGTAAACGAACTAGAAAGATCCTTCACCTTTTTGATACGATTAGCGCAACAGGAAGCGTTTTCAGAGGAGATCAGTTCTTTACAAAAGAATCGTAAACTTCAATGCAATAACCGCTTAGTTAGCTTAAACCCATTCATAGACGAATGCGGAATCATGCGCGTTGGAGGGCGCTTGGTAAACTCTGAATATCCGTATGATAAAAAGCATCCAATTGTGCTTCCTCAAAAACACCACCTTACTAGACTTATATTCGAACATGAGCATCGGACCTTACTTCACGCGGGTCCGCAACTTTTGCTAGCTACCATACGAGAGAATTTTTGGCCCATTTCCGGGCGCAATCTGGCACGAAAAATAGTACGGGAATGCGTAATTTGCGCTAGGCATGCTGCACGTAACTTTCAACCAATCATGGGTTCATTGCCTAAGGCTCGCGCTCATCCTTCTTTACCATTTTCGCATGTCGGAATTGATTATGCGGGACCTTTTGCAATCAAAGACAAAAGAGGACGAGGTTGCAAAGTTATAAAATGTTGGGTAGCTCTATTCGTATGCTTCAGTACTCGAGCCATTCATTGGAACTTGTGTTATCATTGAGCACCGATGACTTCCTCCAAGCCCTTCATCGTTTTATTGTTAGACGTGGTAAGCCATTAGAAATATTCTCCGACAACGGTACCAATTTCATTGGGGCTGCTAAAGAGGTAAAGTATATGTACACCTTTCTTAATGAGAATTCAGAGACAATTTATTCCAAAACTGCTGACATGGGCATAAAGTGGCATTTCATACCAGTAAACTCCCCTCACTTCGGCGGAATATGGGAAGCCGGTGTAAAAGGTGTAAAACATCACTTAAAGAGATCAGTGGGACTTCATAAACTTTATCTTTTAGACTTTCAAACGCTTTTAATTCGCATTGAAGCTATATTGAACTCCCGTCCTTTATTTCCTTGAGCTCTGACCTGAGATTGACCCCTTTAACGCCTGCTCACTTCTTAATTGGTAAATCGATGCAGACTCTGCCAGTACCCTACAAATATGTCTGCCCCCGAAAATAGATTGAGCCAATTCCAGTTATTAGACCGCCTGCACAGCCATTTTTGGACTAGATGAGCAAAGAATATATCAGCGAACTGCAACAGCGCTGTCGTTGAAGCAAACCCGAGGAGATCTACAGATAGAACAGCTAGTGCTAATGAAAGACGACAACGCCCCCTCCAGCTAAGTGGCGTCTTGGAAGAGTCATTCAGCTGTCACCTGGCACCGACGGCGTCACCCGAGTTGCAACGTTGAAAACCGAGAACGGAATGACTTCTAGAGCTATCAATCGCCTGGTTCCATTGCCGGTTGTCCATCCGCAGGATTCCCAAGGCCCGGGGCATGTATGTGCTACGCCACTGGCAAAATGGGTTTCGACCATCTCCCGCAGGAGCGCGCCACCATCCAGCGCGCAGCCTACCACTGCCGACCGGAAGACCGTTGAATTTTGAACGGTCCAATGGGATGCCTTCCTCTCGGAGCGACCAGGAGAGAGGCCGGAAGAAGCTACCATTTTGACCATAACCAGAAAATCTGTTCGGTATCGACAATTTTTCAATTACGACAGTTTCTCATGAAATGTACATACAATACATTGAACAAAAACATAAATGTAATCAATAAAAATACAGTCCACTATACACAACAATTTATCTACAATAAATTGTACATCTGCCGTAAAATAATCCTCGAAAGAAGCGCTAGGTGAAAGGTCCATTGAATTTCACAAATTTCTCATAAAGTGAAGAACTAATATATTGAGTCGTATTGAAAATTGTCTGCGTCAAAGAAAACACAGTTGCAGTCAACGCCGCAGACGTAGACCTCTCTCTGTGCGACGTCTCTGGCGTAAGAGGAGTCGTAGGAGATCCTCTAGTAAAACTTGCCATCGCCAGGGTCTGATCACCAGCAATCCTTTCTTGAACTATTTCCGTCGGTTCAGGAAGGAGTGGCGGTTGAATACGCAAAATGTTGGTGTAAAATGTCACGTAGGGATAATCAAAAATATTACGCTGAAGCTTGTAAGAGGAACGACGTAAACAGGCGTAGCAGGAGAAAACGACGCAAACCCAGTAGGACCAGAAGAAGACGCAGTAAAAGAAGACGCCGAAGGAGGTGGAGATCCAAATGTGTCGTTTCGTATGTCTGGTGGATGAAAAATAATATTGTCTTTCCAATTTGCTGTCTCATCATGACAATATTTGAGGGAAAATTTTATTAGATTATTGGTTGGAAGGTATTATTGCATAACAGCAGGGATAGCAATGTTATTATTTATCTACAATAAATTGTACATCTGCCGTAAAATAATCCTCGAAAAAGCGCTAGGTGAAAGGTCCATTGAATTTCACAAATTTCTCATAAAGTGAAGAAACTAATATATTGAGTCGTATTGAAAATTGTCTGCGTCCGAAGAAAACACAGTTGCAGTCAACGCCGCAGACGTAGAACCTCTGCGCGACATCTCCAACGTAAGAGGAGTAGTAGTAGGAGATCCTCTAGTAGAAACTGTCATCGCCAGGGTCTGATCACCAGCAATCCTTTCTTGAACCTATTTCCGTCGGTTCAGGAAGGAGTGGCGGTTGAATACGCAAAATGTTGGTGTAAAATGTCACGTAGGGATAATCAAAAATATTACGCTGAAGCTTGTAGAGGGACGACGTAAAAAAGGCGTAGCAGGAGAAAGCGACGCAAACCCAGTAGGACCAGAAGAAGACGCAGTAAAAGAAGACGCCGAAGGAGTGGAGATCCAAATGTGTCGTTTCGTATGTCTGGTGGATGAAAAATAATATTGTCCTTTCCAATTTGCTGTCTCATCATGACAATATTTGAGGGAAAATTTTATTAGATTATTGGTTGGAAGGTATTATTGCATAACAGCAGGGATAGCAATGTTATTATTATCTACAATAATTGTACATCTGCCGTAAAATAATCCTCGAAAGAAGCGCTAGGTGAAAGGTCCATTGAATTTCACAAATTTCTCATAAAGTGAAGAAACTAATATATTGAGTCGTATTGAAAATTGTCTGCGTCAAAGAAAACACAGTTGCAGTCAACGCCGCAGACGTAGAACCTCTCTCTGTGCGACGTCTCTGTCGTAAGAGGAGTCGTAGGAGATCCTCTAGTAAAAACTGCCATCGCCAGGGTCTGATCACCAGCAATCCTTTCTTGAACTATTTCCGTCGGTTCAGGAAGGAGTGGCGGTTGAATACGCAAAATGTTGGTGTAAAATGTCACGTAGGGATAATCAAAAATATTATGCTGAAGCTTGTAAGAGGACGACGTAGAAAGTCGTAGCAGGAGAAAGCGACGCAAGCCCAGTAGGACCAGAAGAAGACGCAGTAAACGAAGACGCCGAAGGAGGTGGAGATCCAAATGTGTCGTTTCGTATGTCTGGTGGATGAAAAATAATATTGTCTTTCCAATTTGCTGTCTCATCATGACAATATTTGAGGGAAAATTTTATTAGATTATTGGTTGGAAGGTATTATTGCATAACAGCAGGGATAGCAATGTTATTATTTATCTACAATAAATTGTAATCTGCCGTAAAATAATCCTCGAAAGAAGCGCTAGGTGAAAGGTCCATTGAATTTCACAAATTTCTCATAAAGTGAAGAAACTAATATATTGACTGGTATTGAAAATTGTCTGCGTCGAAGAAAACACAGTTGCAGTCAACGCCGCAGACGTAGAACCCACTGCGCGACGTCTCCAACGTAAGAGGAGTAGTAGGAGATCCTCTAGTAGAAACTGTCATCGCCAGGGTCTGATCACCAGCAATCCTTTCTTGAAACTATTTCCGTCGGTTCAGGAAGGAGTGGCGGTTGAATACGCAAAATGTTGGTGTAAAATGTCACGTAGGGATAATCAAAAATATTACGCTGAAGCTTGTAAGAGGACGACGTAAAAAGTCGTAGCAGGAGAAAGCGACGCAAACCCAGTAGGACCAGAAGAAGACGCAGTAAAAGAAGACGCCGAATGAGGTGGAGATCCAAAGTGTCGTTTCGTATGTCTGGTGGATGAAAAATAATATTGTATTTCCAATTTGGTGTCTCATCTTGACAATATTTAAGATTGCAGATACTGTGGAAAATGCTGCAGCTTAAATTTGAGGGAAAATATTATTAGATTATTGGTTGGAAGGTATATTGCATAACAGCAGGGATAGCAATGTTATTATTTATCTACAATAAATTGTACATCTGCCGTAAAATAATCCTCGAAAGAAGCGCTAGGTGAAAGGTCCATTGAATTTCACAAATTTTCTCATAAAGTGAAGAAACTAATATATTGACTGGTATTGAAAATTGTCTGCGTCGAAGAAAACACAGTTGCAGTCAACGCCGCAGACGTAGAACCACTGCGCGACGTCTCCAACGTAGAGGAGTAGTAGGAGATCCTCTAGTAGAAACTGTCATCGCCAGGGTCTGATCACCAGCAATCCTTTTCTTGAACTATTTCCGTCGGTTCAGGAAGGAGTGGCGGTTGAATACGCAAAATGTTGGTGTAAAATGTCACGTAGGGATAATCAAAAATATTACGCTGAAGCTTGTAAGAGGACGACGTAAAAAGTCGTAGCAGGAGAAAGCGACGCAAGCCCAGTAGGACCAGAAGAAGACGCAGTAAAAGAGACGCCGAAGGAGGTGGAGATCCAAATGTGTCGTTTCGTATGTCTGGTGGATGAAAAATATATTGTCTTTCCAATTTGCTGTCTCATCATGACAATATTTGAGGGAAAATTTTATTAGATTATTGGTTGGAAGGTATTATTGCATAACAGCAGGGATAGCAATGTTATTATTTATGTATGTGCTACGCCACTGGCAAAATGGGTTTCGACCATCTCCCGCAGGAGCGCGCCACCATCCAGCGCGCAGCCTACCACTGCCGACCGGAAGACCGTTGAATTTTGAACGGTCCAATGGGATGCCTTCCTCTCGGAGCGACCAGGAGAGAGGCCGGAAGAAGCTACCATTTTGACCATAACCAGAAAATCTGTTCGGTATAGACAATTTTTCAATTACGACAGTTTCTCATGAAATGTACATACAATACATTGAACAAAACATAAATGTAATCAATAAAAATACAGTCCACTATACACAACAATTTATCTACAATAAATTGTACATCTGCCGTAAAATAATCCTCGAAAGAAGCGCTAGGTGAAAGGTCCATTGAATTTCACAAATTTCTCATAAAGTGAAGAAACTAATATATTGAGTCGTATTGAAAATTGTCTGCGTCAAAGAAAACACAGTTGCAGTCAACGCCGCAGACGTAGAACCTCTCTCTGTGCGACGTCTCTGTCGTAAGAGGAGTCGTAGGAGATCCTCTAGTAAAAACTGCCATCGCCAGGATCACCAGCAATCCTTTCTTGAACTATTTCCGTCGGTTCAGGAAGGAGTGGCGGTTGAATACGCAAAATGTTGGTGTAAAATGTCACGTAGGGATAATCAAAAATATTATGCTGAAGCTTGTAAGAGGACGACGTAGAAAGTCGTAGCAGGAGAAAGCGACGCAAGCCCAGTAGGACCAGAAGAAGACGCAGTAAAAGAAGACGCCGAAGGAGGTGGAGATCCAAATGTGTCGTTTCGTATGTCTGGTGGATGAAAAATATATTGTCTTTCCAATTTGCTGTCTCATCATGACAATATTTGAGGGAAAATTTTATTAGATTATTGGTTGGAAGGTATTATTGCATAACAGCAGGGATAGCAATGTTTATTATTTATCTACAATAAATTGTACATCTGCCGTAAAATAATCCTCGAAAAAAACGCTAGTTGAAAGGTCCATTGAATTTCACAAATTTCTCATAAAGTGAAGAAACTAATATATTGAGTCGTATTGAAAATTGTCTGCGTCGAAGAAAACACAGTTGCAGTCAACGCCGCAGACGTAGAAACCTCTGCGCGACATCTCCAACGTAAGGAGTAGTAGTAGGAGATCCTCTAGTAGAAACTGTCATCGCCAGGGTCTGATCACCAGCAATCCTTTCTTGAACTATTCCGTCGGTTCAGGAAGGAGTGGCGGTTGAATACGCAAAATGTTGGTGTAAAATGTCACGTAGGGATAATCAAAAATATTACGCTGAAGCTTGTAAGAGGACGACGTAAAAAGTCGTAGCAGGAGAAAGCGACGCAAACCCAGTAGGACCAGAAGAAGACGCAGTAAAAGAAGACGCCGAAGGAGGTGGAGATCCAATGTGTCGTTTCGTATGTCTGGTGGATGAAAAATAATATTGTCTTTCCAATTTGCTGTCTCATCATGACAATATTTGAGGGAAAATTTTATTAGATTATTGGTTGGAAGGTATTATTGCATAACAGCAGGGATAGCAATGTTATTATTTATCTACAATAAATTGTACATCTGCCGTAAAATAATCCTCGAAAGAAGCGCTAGGTGAAAGGTCCATTGAATTTCACAAATTTCTCATAAA